CAATACAGGGTAAGGGTTGGGGATTTCTTCATGTGGAATTGGGCTTCTAGGAATTCCCCCTGGTTTCTGGGTATTAAGATCAGACGCCCGTGTGCATTGTTGCGCAAAAATCCCTTGGCAGTTAGAAATCGAAAAGAGTATCCTAACAGCGCTGTCCGGGCAAAATTTGGAGTCAAAAATTTACCCAAAGTATTTCAGGATCCTCGCCGGTGCTGCAGAGACTGTGCACTTTGCTTAGCTATTTCGAGCTCAGACCTAAGTTAGAAGTAGAACAAGCACTTATTGGTTGCCTCCCGTGTGCCATGATGTTGATCCGTTGTTCAAAACCTCAAATTCTAAGTTAGTAGTGATTAAATTCAGCTAACCTACAATAGAGAGACATTGTGGTGTGTTTAGATACTTAGTAATGCCGTAATCACGGCAGACATAAACAAATTGAATTACAGTGGAAGCCGCCGTGATGCTGAGGCTAGATGCTGGCCTGTGGCTCTGAAGTTTATGTGTTAAACTGCGCCTGGCACCGGATTTTGTTCATGCGTACCCTTGGTTCCAATGTCCACACAGCCTTGCAGGAAAGGATGCCATTCCGGTAAACAAACGAGTTTAGTTTGTTTTCTGTATCGCGGAGATCGGTGCCGAGCTCTAAGGTCGACTCATCAATACCACTACATTAGAAAAAGTTGTGGGAAGTAAACGAGGCCAACATATTATTTACGATACAATCACACAACGTAGATCGATGTATATCGGCGTTCTTCAATTATTTCCAATTCACGGACAGGGAAAATAGAACTATCTTGTGCGCCGGCTGACGGCTTAGACTTCTTCCTATTTCGCGCTCAATGGATGTAAACTCTAGTGGAAAGTTCCAGCTATTAGCCTACCCTTGAACGTTAGTCTTGCTCCAGAAACTGAGTGTTGTGTGCTCATCCGTTTTACAGATCTAACTTATGTGTATGAAGATTGTTGTTTCCTTGCCTATCAGGTAAAGGCAGTCCGATTTCGAAGAAAAGGCCCAGTTAATTGACTCATATGACATGCTTGTTGGTAAGGCACTGTAAATATCCTTTTTTTCTCATACAGGAAACGGCTAAGAAAGAAACAAATATTTGTGTAGATAAGTAAAAAAAAAGTAAATGACCGTTTTTCATGTCTTTATGCGTGCTGGGCATATACTGGGCTAGACATATATTTTATGGTCCAATTATTAAGTTTGTAGAATGGTCAGTGTCACGCCGGCCGCGTTGACTTCCAAGGACTGTACCCAGTATCCACTCAAGGCTGGGTCGATCTGAGAGCTAAGTTCATTAAAAACAAAATTCGGTCTCCGTCAGGACCTGAACACACGGCCTTCCGATCAGCAGGTAAGTGTCTAGAAAAACCACGGCGGCTGTCTTATAAATGTAGATAGCGTTAAAAACATATATCTGAGAGAACCACAATCGGTCTCCTGGACGCCGGCCTGGCCACTCGAGTACCCCAAGGATGTCTTCAGACCGACCAGGGAACCCCCGCTTTTGGTTACTGCTGGTTAAGGTTTGCCCCATTTATGTGTTTGGTGAAAGAACCAGGCCCTTCTTCCAGACTCAGTGCAGCAAGGTTACATCTTTATCTTAGCCAAAAGGTCGAGAAGCCGCGAGACCTATACCATTTACTTAAATGTTAGAAAATGTGTTACGCCTAGATGGAGAGTTGTTACAGCGAGCTGAAGCGTTGGAATAAAATACATTTGATTTATGTGTTTGATTTCAACTGTGGCTGCTTCATGATTAGATGTACATTTTTTTTCCGGACCTTAAGGACATTTTCGTGGACCATCACCGATCTACGGCAAACATGTTGAAGAGTATAAATCACTGTAATATGGAGCTAGCAGCATTTAGGATTAAATGAGTGGAAACATAACGTTTTATTGTCAGTTTACATTGTGTTTCAACGTAGTATTTGAAACAAAACGCCGCCTATGAAACTAAAGTACGAGATACCGAATTTTTCAGGTGTTATGAACTATGCTCTACGTGTGGTTTACACTCTTGTGTGTGACATATGCGAGTAAGTACGGCTGTATTCTTCACATTTCTCTCCCCTCTCTCTCTCTCTCTCTCTCTCTCTCTCTCTCTCTCTCTCTCTCTTCATCTAGTTACATTAGAGAAGACTTGGATGCAGATAGGGTCTAATTGTTCTCGGGATCTGTCTAATGTGTGGTCTTTCTCTTTTTGTGGTTGTTTTTTTTTATGTCGCTGTCCTATCTTTTTAGCTTTCTTCCCATTGCTTTATGTTCACTGTAGTTTCGTGTCTGTCGCCGTGGTAAAGTAGTGCATTCTCCTTTATAAAGTAAAGTTAAGTGTTTACAAGTTAACAAATTCATTGTAATCGATGCTGGCAATTAATGTTTACACTTGGAGCGGCTGGCCAAGCAGTTACAACGTTGGTCTCTTGCCGGAGAAAACTTTTCCTTATTTGACTCAGCGAGGGGTGGTAACTAGTGGTTGGCCAAGTGGTTACAACGTTGGTCTCTTGCCAGAGAAAACTTTTCCTTTTTTGACTCAGCGAGGGTTGGTAACTCGTGGTTGGCCAAGTGGTTACAACGTTGGTCTCTTGTCAGAGAAAACTTATCCTTATTTGACTCAGCGAGGTGTAGTAAATAGTGGTTGGCCACTTCAACGTCTATCCCGGGCACTGCTAGTGGCTTCGTAACTTCCACTGAGATGAACAATTGTGCTATGGTTGCAATTCATTTTTACTACAATAGCCTGCAAGCTCATTCTAGTCTTAAAATTCAAATAGCTTTTTAAATGGTCATGGTATTACAAGTACATGCACTGTGTGTTTCTGACCTCTTTATACCTACTATACTGCCACAAAGCCCACATATTCAGGGTTATAGCTCCTGGGAAGCGTGTCGCACGTGTAACTTTCGATGTTTTCGTATAATCTGTATGCCCTTTCGATTCCAACAGCCATTTGCTCTCTAATGCATAACAAACACGGGAAAAAACCATTCTCAGATTTTCCGCCCAAACTTTCGGCAATAGACACACACACACACACACAAACATACACACACACACACATTTATATATATATATATATATATATATATATATATATATATATATATATATATATATATATATATTTATATATGCCCGTCTCTCCAGCGTAGTTGGCTAAACCGGATTGCGCGGTGAGCGGGTGACGAACTCCTTGTGGTCCGGGTTCACTCCCGGGGGTGGGCAGAAAAGCCACATTTCTCCCAGAATTACGGTATTTAAAATGGAATCAAGGCCGAAAGGTTGCGATATCCATAATACCAAGCCTAAGGGTTAACAACTCATGGCTTCTGGATACTAAAACAAACATATATTTATATATATATATATACATATATACATACATACACACACACATATATATATTATATTGCTGCGATTTTAATGTGTTTCAATATACTTCTAATGTGATTTGCCATGGTAGACATAAGCATATTTCTGTGTATGATTAGTCATATTATTTATTGCAATATATGTTTTACGTTTGCATGTCTTTTATTGCTGTCTACCCATTTTTCCATCGCAAGTGAACACTGACTGTAGGCATTAAATGCACATGTTTCTTTGCCGATGATCCGCAAAACATACAAGCTATTCCCACCTCTGAGGCTAGGGACTGAAAAACATAACTAGTGACTGATCCAGCATAACTGCTAATGACTGGTCTACTATTCGAAAAAAAATAAAAAATAAAAAATATCGCATCTGGCGGAACAGTTAAGTACTTTTGCTCTCAGGCAGAGAACGAGGTTCGAATCCTTGGTAACACCATGCGTTATATTTTTTTTTCTCTTGTGTGAACAATAAAGTAAAATTATAGTAAGCAGTTAAGCCTATCATGTGGTCCTGCATTTTAAAGTTCGAAGACCCAACAACCCCTCCCCCCGCCGCCCACATTTTCTTCCCACATGAAAGCCCCGCCCCTCCCTTTTTCTCCCCACCCCGCCCCATATATTTTTTCTTTCCTTGTTTTTCATGCACCTTAAAATCTTTAAATACCAGCATGTTTTGTTAAAGTATATGTAGTATCTATATACAGTGAACATGAAAATCTAAAGGGCAGTTGTAAGAAAGTATTATTAACGGTCATCATCAAGAGAAAGGATGTATAACCATGTAAAATCCAAGCAAATGGCAAACTTCTTAAACAAATGAATCGATTACAACAAGAATCGCAATGGCAAAAGTGGCCGCTGAAAAAGTTCAAAATAGACTGAACAATAAAAAAATATATATATATATATATATATATATATATATATATATATATATATATATATGCATGGACAAAAAGAGAACAGACTCAGAAAAACATCTACTCCTAGCAGATGGTGAGTTTTGAGGGGAGTGGTATAACAACTAACGAATCATACCTTCTTAAGACAGATGGCTTGCTTGCTTATTTGTTTGTTGCGGGGGGAGGAGGGGGATCTTTTTGCGTCCAACCGTTAGGGAGAAATGCTTTTGATTATAAGTGTGACTGTGTTTATTTGCGCCATATTCATGACTTCAAGCTGCGTGCCCGAGAAGTATCCCAGTTGATGCCCTGACTAGACCCTACCACCTTCCCGACCAACGACCTAGTCGCTCACTTTGGCGGAACAATAAGCCATCTGTGGGTCAGTGTAATGTCAGATGCAAACCTAAAACAAATTAGAGTAATTAGATGTAGACAGCGTGCATGACATGTTATGATAGTCAATGTACTCGCGAAAGATGTAACTGCATGGTGACTTGGTCATAGGAATGGGGTGTGATCGAGTCAGATAGGCAAACTTAATTGCCTACGCTAATCGGTCGTAACAACTGATGATGATGCTAATGAGGTTGATGAACTGTACATAGTCAAATATTTTTTGACGACGAAACTGAACATTTTACATGTCTAGGCAAGGAAATGTAAACCATAATTATGTAAGACTTCGCTGTAATGGTTTGTTTCCGCAGGCGGATTTCGTATCATGTGCTACTTTTCAAACCAAGTAAAATTCAGGCTCTTTCCAGAGTACATCATGCCACATCAGTGCACGCATATTGTATACGCCGTTGCATATACCAAAGGGTTGGGCTTAAGCCACGTTGAATGGTCAGACCTGCCTTTTAGAAAATTCCAAGGAATGTAAGATAATACCTAGTCCTCCGACCTTCTAATAACCAATGCATTTATTCTTACTGATACAACAATACCTGTGGTCTAATGTGTAATCTAATGTAGCAATATGCGTACCTGTTTTATTAGTCAGTCTGCATGTCCGCCAGCCTGCACATCTCTCTATTTAATCTATCTATCTATCTATCTATCTATCTATCTATCTATCTATCTATCTATCTATCTATCTATCTATCTATCTATCTATCTATCTATCTATCTATCTATCTATCTATCTATCTATCTATCTATCTATCTATCTATCTATCTATCTATCTATCTATCTATCTATCTATCTATCTATCTATCTATCTATCTATCTATCTATCTATCTATCTATCTATCTATCTATCTATCTATCTATCTATCTATCTATCTATCTATCTATCTATCTATCTATCTATCTATCTATCTATCTATCTATCTATCTATCTATCTATCTATCTATCTATCTATCTATCTATCTATCTATCTATCTATCTATCTATCTATCTATCTATCTATCTATCTATCTATCTATCTATCTATCTATCTATCTATCTATCTATCTATCTATCTATCTATCTATCTATCTATCTATCTAATCTATCTAATCTATCTAATCTATCTAATCTATCTAATCTATCTATCTATCTATCTATCTATCTATCTATCTATCTATCTATCTATCTATCTATCTATCTATCTATCTATCTATCTATCTATCTATCTATCTATCTATCTATCTATCTATCTATCTATCTATCTATCTATCTGGCTGGCTGGCTGGCTGGCTGGCCGGCTGGCCGGCTGGCTGGCTGGCCGGCTGGCTGGCTAGCCGGCTGGCTGGCTAGCCGGCTGTCTGTCTGTCTGTCTGTCTGTCTGTCTGTCTGTCTGTCTGTCTGTCTGTCTGTCTGTCTGTCTGTCTGTCTGTCTGTCTGTCTGTCTGTCTGTCTGTCTGTCTGTCTGTCTGTCTGTCTGTCTGTCTGTCTGTCTGTCTGTCTGTCGAGCCATCCATCCATCCATCCATCCATCCATCTATCTGTTTGTTTGACGGTCGGTCGGTCGATCAGTATGTCTGTCTGTATGTATGTATGTCTAAATCTATTGATCTGTCTGCCTGAACTTCTATTGACAAACCTAAAAATGGACAATTAATACATTTTATGTTTTGGAATCATTCATGGAAGGAGGTATTGGACTTGCGCCCGTCCCCTCTCTTCCCCACCTGTTGACGCTTGTGAGGTTAAGAGAAGACTGGTGTTTGGGCAAGCGATGAGAGGACATTGTTGAAACATAAACAATCTTTTCTCTTGTGCCCACAGGAGCATAGACCTATATAGAGAAGGAAGCAAGAGAATGAAGTTAAATAAACAATGGCAGAAATACGGTATGGGCTCCATTCCATTGCAAAGGATTGGACTAATTAGTATGACTAGGTCGAGAGCCTATTGTTCATGTTGGACATTGAAGCTCGCAAGAAGCAACAACGTAAATCACACTACTTCCCAGCTGCAACTGCCTTGTGGCTACTGATTCCTACCACTTATGTTAAATAATTTACTTACTTTGCCTAATGTACTTTACCTAATCCTTTGCTTCCTTTATTTCATGTAATTTGTTTATTTTAACATAGTCTATTCCGCCTCTTCCCCACCCCCTTTTTAAGAATGTATATGGTTTTCTTACTTTAATAATAACACTTCCTATATCTAATCTTTTTCTCATTATCGCTCACAAAACGTTTGTCTTGTTTGTGTGCAATATTGTCTAACAGATTTGAATGATTTGTAAGCAGACTGTTGGTTCCTCGCCTATCAGGCCGTGTACTTTAACAGCGAGAGAGAGCAAACAAATCTTAATTATCAGTCGTTTTTCACGACACGCTTGTTAGAGGTCAGTGGGGTCTATTCCTGAATGTTACCAACTTTACATAAATGTATCTACAGTTCTTAATTTTCTTATCTCCAAAGCTGTTTGAGTTTACTATTCATTCCCAGGTATGAACGTGTAGTGGGAATAAAGAATAAAAATCCAGACTTGAAAGTACTTCTAGCAGTGGCCAGCTCGCCGTCTTCAACAGGTGATCCTTACGTATCAATTCAGTCATCCCAAGTAACGCGCCAGACGTTTGCCCAGAATGTTGTAGTATTTCTGCGAAGACATGGCTTCGACGGAGTGGAGATTTCCTGGAAATATCCTGACGTTCACAGCCCACCCATTACGAACAAAGAGAAGTTCGCGCTCATATTTAAGGTACGGAAATATTGTTCCAAGACGTTTGATAGCAGTTTGCTGACATTGACAAGCATGAAACTTGTGGAGGACACATTATCAACCTCGAACTCATTCTGTCCATATTCGTCTACATCTACTACGCTTTCATCCGCTGCAAAATGGGACGGAAAGTCTTGGTTGTTCGTCTACTTCTGAACGTAAGATTAGTTCGATAATTTAAATTATTGTTCATATCTGTTTTACAAACCTGACGTATTTTAAATCAGACTCTCGGGTAGATGCAGTCCGACTGTGCACGAGCGCTCCCTCCGACACCCACTCCCCTTCCCGAGAAACTGCTGAGTTTTTTCTTGATTGTAAAATAATATAGATCTACACACCCTTAATAAACATTTTATAGATGGCCACTTATTTGCTGAAATCAGACTTAGTCCCAGCAACACAATTTCGCACCGCATCTGTAAACAACACCAAATGAAAATCATCACCAAACAAAGAAGAAGAAGAAGCGGGTGATGATGATAATGATGAAGATGATGATAAAGAAGAAGAAGAAGAAGAAGAAGAAGAAGAAGAAGAAGAAGAAGAAGAAGAAGAAAAAGAAGAAGAAAAAGAAGAAGAAGAAGAAGAAGAAGAAGAAGAAGCAGAAGAAGAAGAAGAAGAAGGAGGAGGAGGAGAAGGGGGAGAAGGAGGATGAGAAGAAGGATGAGGAGAAGTTGAAGGGGAAGAAGAAAAAGGGAGAGGAGGAGAAGGAGAAGAAGGAGGAGGAGAAGAAGAAGAAGAAGAAGAAGAAGAAGAAGAAGAAGAAGAAGAAGAAGAAGAAGAAGAAGAAGAAGAAGAAGAAGAAAAAGAAGAAGAAGAATAAGAGGAGAAGGACAAGGACAAGGAGAGACTAAGCAGTATATGTATGATAGTGAAATTGTTAAATTTATTTTTTTAGGATCTTTTTGAGACATTCACTTTGGAAGGCACACTGAGACAAATACCCAGGTTACTTGTAAGTGCTGTTTTGCCAGGTATAAGTTCTGACATTCAGTCCCGCTTTGATGTTCAGGGAATCCTGCGGTGAGTGTGAACAAGATGAACGTCGTTTGTCATTTTTTTTTTAAATAGGACAGTCAGTCATCTTTAAACTCACATACAGATATACTGCCTGTAATATTCATAATAGACTCAGCAAAAACACTATTTCTACTTGCATGTTGCATCGTTTTTTATTTTATTTATTATTCTTTACAGGACTTCAGAACCAAAGACAGATTTGGGGGGGGGGAGGAGGAAGAAAGGGGGTGGAGGGGGATGTTACGGTTTTTCTAGTAAATTTTACGTCATTTAGTTTGCTATTGCTTTCTGAAGGGTAAATGATGCTATAATTATACACCTATAAACAAATTGGCACTTGAGTGATAATGTGGCTATCACGTCAGTCGTCTCGATTTTATAGCAAATTTATTTACACCTATTACACATATTTGCCACCGTCTTCTTCTTATTCTTCGAGCTCACCAGCTGTAAACTCTGGTGGAAAGTTCTGGTTGTTCGTCTACTTCTGGGCTTCTGTCCTGTTCCAGAACCTGAGTTTTGTATGCGCGTCCGTTTTACAGATCTAACACAGTTAGAACACTGTTGGTTCCTTGTCTTTCAGGCACATGCACTCTGACTTCAACGGAAGCTCCCAAGTAGTTGTGTCTGACAACGAGCTTTTGGGTAGGCAGTGGGTCTATTCTTGTTTTCATTACAACAGGGCCCTGGAACCCAAACGGGGAAACTCTTGGCCAACATGCTAGTGTTCATTTTGAAAAGCTTCTAGTCACTGCGCTTCTGATAGGCTCCCTACTCTTTCAGTCCCATGTTGTAATAGTTATTTATCCTGAAGAACAAAAGATTGCATGCACCATAGCGGGCAGAAGTATTAAGCACAGCATCATCTCGCCATGTTGCATTGTGAAAATGGAGCAAGACTTATTTCAGAGACCATCTCCACACAAAGAATACTAGGTTTAGCATCAGTCAATTTCCTTTGCCTACCAATGCACTGCCTGCTACCCAGCTCAGGTTGGGTTGATCTGTGAGGAAGCTTAATGTATCTAAATCTGTGTTAAAAAAATTTCAAAGATATAACAAGGCAGGTTACATCTGCTGGAACCAACCACAAGGGTTTAGAATGCTGAAGATAAAATATAGAAGCACACACACATACACGCACACATGCCACTATATATATATATATATATATATATATATATATATATATATATATATATATATATATATATATATATATATATATTTTCATTACATTGTCTAGTGGATGACTCCATTTGTTTATTGGTCTGCATGTTCATTATCTCTACACAATAATATTGGTCCGCATCATGAGCTATTCCAATTCAATTCATTATGTGTTTATGTGTTTTTTTTTGTGTGGGGGAGGGGGGTGGGGGGGGGGGGGGGTCATTCTTTCATTTTTTCCTAACGAGTGTAGTCCATTAATGCCCACAATGACATTAGCCATGAATTAATATAAATAGGACTTCTGTAATTTGTCAAGTTGCTTGCTAACTTTATTTTCTCGGGGGAGATAAAAACACGGAATTCTTGAGGCTGTAAAATTAGTGTGTGACAAATAAATAGTCATTCACTGACTGTCACGAAAACAATTAGGTACAGAGGGAGTGGAGAGTGAGAGAGATAGACAAATCTAAAGCCATAGCTACCAAGCTGGAAATTGAACCTCGAAATTTCGATAGCGCCTCGTTGTTAGAACAAGTGTATGACCAGCTTGACTCCAGTTTGATCTCTCTGTCTTCTTCTCTGAGTGTACATGTCAGTCAATATTACACGAAGAACTCCACAACGGAAGCATGCACGGCAGGAGTCTACTGATCATATGTAGGTGGCCTCCCTCTCAACAATTGTTTCGGCACTTTATCATTCTAGATAATCTCGGGGGAGGGAGCACCTTGGTCATTGCGCCATGACTTGATGTCCTCTTGATGGACATTCGGACAAGACATAATAGTGATTTACAACAGGTACTAAAGATATGGGGGGGTGGGGGGGGGGGTTGTTTCGTTTGTTCATGTTATCCCAAGGTCTCTCTCTCTCTCTCTCTCTCTCTCTTTCTTTCTCTCTCTCTCTCTCTCTCTCTCTCTCTCTCTCTCTCTCTCTCTCTCAACCTTGTATGACTCTGACTTAAACTTTCGAATACAGTTCTTTGCGGTATAGTTAGTAAAATTAACACCTGCCTGAAATGTATAGAGCCAGTTACAAGTGTATTTCGTTTTTTTTTAATCTAGCTGTCGTGGAGTTTGGTATAACGATTTTTTTTTAGTGTGCTATTTAGATTTTTACCTCCGAGATTTCATTGTAACTGCCTGTTTCCTGCATTCTGCGTGAGTGTTACACATGTCGAATCTTATTCAACAGATACACCGATTTTATTTCGCTTCTGACCTATAACTACTACTTCAAGGTCAATGACACTGTACAGATAAGCACTCCTTTACATTCTTACGGAAGCAATCCTTTAAGCCTGGTATGTTAATTTGTATCTTTTACACACTAATATAATGGGACACACTGTTTTGATTAATTTTACTTATCCTTTTATAATAAGCCACACTATATTGCACAATGTATTTTATTGCCCGACATGTCAGCTCTGTAATTCCGGGATGCCGGGTTCGATCCCAGCTGCGAGCCATGCGCTTTGTGTTGGTATCGACAGTGGTATCAAGAAAGCCGACCGTCCAGAGAGCAATGACAAACTACAGGACGTAAATTTGCCCTGAAAAAACAACAAAACATCAATGTAAAGGATTCGCAACTAACCTACCATTGCCTGACATATTTCGATGCGTCAGTCAATGTGCAAGGAGCGAACGGGCGAACGGAAGCACGGTATTTTCACAGAGTAAAATTATACCATTCCGGGCCACTCCATGCATACAGATATACATACGTACCTCACTTCGTAGTGAATTATAAACCGACTACTTAAGCCTAAAAATTTTTTTTTTCATTCGTTACTTACTACATAATTGCATCAAAATTAATTTTATAAAAAATTCACACGCACAACACCACACACACGCACCCACCCACACACACACACACCACGCACACACCACACAAACATAACCACACAAACACCGTGCACACATACACCACACACACACAACACACACACACACATTATTTTCCTTCTTCTTCTTCTTTTTCTTCTTCTTCTTCTTCTTTTTCTTCTTCTTCTTCTTCTTCTTCTTCTTCTTCTTCTTCTTCTTCTTCTTCTTCTTCTTCTTCTTCTTCTTCTTCTACTTCTTCTTCTTCTTCTTCTTCTTCTTCTTCTTCTTCTTCTTCTTCTTCTTCTTCTTCTTCTTCTTCTTCTTCTTCTCTTCTTCTTCTTCTTCTTCTTCTTCTTCTTCTTCTTCTTCTTCTTCTTCTTCTTCTTCTTCTTCTTCTTCTTCCTCTTCTTTTTTTTCAGCATTCAGAGCCCTATAGTTGATTCCTGCAGATATCAACCATTCATTTTCTGGAGGCCTCCTTATTCTAGTTAGTGACAGCAAATTTGTGTAGGTCTGCCTCGTCTTTTTTGGTCTACCTCGTGGTCTACAATCGTTTAACTCCATTTTTTTTTTACAACGGTTTTAACATTTTCTCAATATTCTGAACCGTTTTAGTCTGTCAGCATGCATGATGTACGTGATCAATTGTTATTTTAAGGGATTTTGTCTTTCGTCTGAAAAAAAAAAAAAACATACACACACACACCCACACACACAAACTCTACATTCTGTCAACTCCTATCATGCGTCATGATACAGTAAAATCTTAGATAGGGTGATTTAGACGCTTGTATCCATTCCTCAGGGAGTCACCGTTGCCGAGCGGCTAGACGCTCGCCGCAGATCGGAAGGTTGTGGGTTCGCCATATATACCCTATTCGCCTAAAGGCGTGGAAAGGGTCCTTTACTTTGCTTTACTTATCCATTCCTCATCTGGTTGGATATCTGTAT